TGTGTGTGTGTGTGTGTGTGTGTGTGTGTGTGTGTGTGTGTGTGTGTCACTGCAGCAGCATCATCTTCATCAGAGTCCAAATGATCAGTTTTTAGTCACATGACCTCCAGATCATTTTCTTTTATTTTTTAAATAAAAATATGAACTCTTCTCCGGTTTATTTCAGATTTAACAGATTCAATATTCAATATTCAATATTCAATATTCAATATTCAATATTCAATATTCAAGCAGTTTATAAGAAAACTCGTCTGAAGTCTAACTAAGTTAAGTCGGGTCCTCTGGACGGATAAAAAATGATAATAACAAAAACTAAAAATAAAATAAAATACATAAAATAAATTAATAATAAAAAAGGCGTCTGAAGACGGGGTTTACATAAAACAACATTTATTGTTCTTTTTTAACAGATGTTTTTTAATCTCGTAGCTCAACTGTACATTTTGTCTGAACTCCAGAAGAATTGAAATATTTCCATCTTTTCATGTTTTTTAAGTTTTTGACGTCAAACTGAACTTTAGTTGTTTTTCTTGTTTCTTTATATTTCTATCACAGAAAGGTTAAATCAGTTCATGTGGACAGTTTGTTCTTGGCAGAAACGTTTCTTCTTTCATCTGAAGGACTTCTTCAGTCTGAGGCCTGCCACCAGGATCTGTCTATAAACAGCTCCATGTTGACGTGTTTCAAACCAGTCTGCTGTGGAGTTCACACAAACTGGAAAACGTGCAAAAGATCGATCATCAGCGCAGAACAATCAAATGTTAAAGGCAAAATGGCCGCTCACTACTCACCGAACCAGCTGAGGACAACCTGGTCAAAAGAGACAGATCCTGTTGGCCTCAGACTGAAGAAGTCCTTCGGATGAAAGACGAAACGTTTCTTCCAAAAACAAACAACATGATTCAACTGTTTTGTGATTTACTCTTTATTTTTCCATGCAGCTTCTGGTTTGAACAGGTTTTATAAAGAAACGAGTTTTCATGAGTCCCTCTGTCTGACCGGTCCTGGTCCTGGTCCTGGTCCTGGTCCTGGTCCTGGTTCTGTTAATAACAGAAGGAGAACATCTCCCAGCAGATCAAGCTGAAACCCTCTCCTTCTCTGTTTTTTTACACATTAACCTTCATGAGGTCCTGGACCGGTCCAGATTCGGTAAAAAAAGGTTTAAATTCTGCCTGAACCCCTGGGACCAGCTGAACCAGTCTGGACCCGCCTGGACCGGATGGCCCAGCCTGACCCAGCAGGACCGGCTCCCTGACTTTCTGACTCCAACATTCAGACATTAATAATTCAAGCTGCTTCCTCAGAAACTCCAGAGGAGGAACGTCAGGCTGCAGAACCTGACCCAGTCCTCAGACCAGCTCAGAGTTTACAAACCTGGACCTGCAGAGAGCCGGTCCAGTCTGTCACAGACCCGTTCTACCTGTGTTGCTGCAGCTGACAGGGGGCGGGGCTACAGGTGCTGAACACCTGTTCAGGCTGAGGGGAGCAGGCTCATATGTTGGAGGAGAAAGAAATGTTCAGTTTGTTTGTGATTCAGGACTCTGAGGTCCTCCAGATGTTTCCCTCTGCCTGTCTGAAGGTCACACCTTCTCACATCTGCAGCTTCCTGCTGGTTGGGCAGAGCAGAAAACGGGTCGGTGTTTCCAGTAAGACGGTGCTGAGGCTGCGAGGTGTGACAAGCACGACAGGAGCTGCAAACCTCTGACAGAAGACAGGCCCAGACGTTAGTTTGAAACCAAGTTTCCTTGAATAAAGTCTTCGTCTTGTTTTTGGTGTCACTTCAGAGACGTGATGGAGGACGTTTCACACCTCCACCCACATCCTCGAGATGCATCGAGGGTAAAAACACACCATCAGATGATTCACACTCAGCAGCAGGAAGTGAAGCTGACACCTGCAGAAGACCCCGCTCCAAAAGTCTGAACCAAACGGAACGGGTTCTGTCAGGAGGACAAGAACCAGGAGCTTCAGAGCTTCATGTTGAGGTTCTTCGGGGGGGAACCCAGTGGAACCATCACCAGAGGAAGCCCTCAACTGCACCACAGCACCAAACCACAGGAAGCTTCAGGTTTTTCTGAACCAGTTCTGTCAGCTAGCCCCCCCCCCCCCCCACACACACACACACACACACACACACACTGACATACTGTGATATCAGATACCAAAAACCATCATGACAAAACAAAACGGTAAAATAAAGCAGGCTAAAGGAGAACGATGACTGACACATCAGACCACCGGCTGCTGCTGTTCATCCAGTCCGATGAACGTTTTATTTCTGAGAGTAATCATGGATCAGCACAGACATTAAATATTTATTTACTTGACAGGATTAAATATTTAGGCCCTCAAAAGCTTCAGAGAAAGGCTGCAGTCTGATTTGGTTTTCTTAGTAAATGTGAGGAGTCACAGTGGAAGGGTTGTTTTACCCAAACGGAGGCGGAGCCAAAGAGGCTGTTCCAGGATATGTTGACCCAAAAGGAGGCGGAGCCACAGAGACTGTACCAGGATATGTTGCCCCAAAAGGAGGTGGAACCACAGAAGCTGTGTACCCAGATATTTTGCCCCAAAAGGAGGCGGAGCCACAGAGGCTAAGTAGCCGAATGTGTTGCCTCACTTCTTGTTTGTCCAAGACTTATGCTGACAACACATTTCCTGTTTCCTTACAGTCCTCCTCTCTGTGTTCAGACAGGATCAGAACTGATTTCAAGAGTCCTGCCACTCGCCCAGCTGTGCTTTAGATTGGTTCTTGTGCTGAACTTCAACCAACCATGGCTCCTCAAGAGTCACGTGTCACCTGATTTGACCTAACAAGAAAGGAGTAGAGCTAACTTCCTGTTTGTGTCTGATGTCCCGTGTCTTCAACCTGACCTCAGCTGGTGGTAACAACCGGCAGATTCATGAACATGAACGAACACAAGGGAAGTGCAGAGTACCGGTGATTACCGGACCACTTGAAGCACAAACCAAAACATTTTCAGAGGAATGGTTTTAACTGTGACCTTTGACCCTCAGCCATCACATCAGACTTTATACCAACATCTGTAAAACTGACTGAGTTAGGCAGTTCTTTTTGTTAATTCTAACCATTAGTTGAGGCAGCCATCTTGAATTAGTGTAATTTAAATCAAGTTTTTCATTTTCTGGTTCATGAGATATTTTGCTGACAGACAAATGAACAACCACATAGACATAAACAAAAACATTATCGCCCTTTGTCCGCCAGCAGCTGGTGAGAATATCAGAGTTAGTCAGAAAGCAGGAAGTGAGTCCCAAATAGCTGAAAACGCCATCTCCCAGGTCCTGGTTCTGGTCTTGGATGGATCTGTTCCTGTGAGAGGTTCTTTGCAGGATGTTTGAAGATCTGTTCCTGGATCAGTCCTCGTTCATGTTAAACTGTGCAGAGTTCTGGTGTCTGAACCCACTTTAATGGACCCAGTTCTGCTTGATGAGGACAAGTCTGACTCGGACCTCTGGTTACCCCCGCCGGTTGAGGACAGGCAACTTCAGGGCCACCTCAGCAGATTAAAACAGGACCCGGGACAGGTCAGGAACTGACAGGAAGGCTCCGTGCACCTTTGGGTGGTTTGGACGAATTACTGGATTAAAATGTGAGAAATGTGAGTTTATTTCACCTTTGGGTTGAATAAAACAATTAAATGTTTCAAAATGTTTGGTTTCCTTTCATCTTTAGAATAAAACAATAAAACCAGCACCAGGTGAATCTGTCTCAAAGTGACGTCTTGATGGACGTGGGAGCAGTGTCGGCCATCTTGTTGTGTCCTGCCCTGTGAAGGACAGATGGTGTCTCTGTCCCCAGTGAGACATGCACTCACCTGCGTCTTGCTAAGAGGACAGGGACATGGGGACGTCTCCTTAGACCCAGCAGCTCATTTACTTAAGAAAAACATTTAATTTACAATTCAAATAAGCTGCTGGACTCACTGACCTTCTGAAAACAAGAACATTCAAAGTTTGAAGACCAGAAACACATTGTCCCACTGATCCCACCGGACCCTCCTGGCTGGTCCTGGACCTCTGAGGGCCTATGAAACCACAAGACTGGAACCAGTTTTTCACTCACAACATTAACTCAGTTTCTGTTGATTAACTGCAAAGCTGAGAAGAACAAAAATCTCTCAGACATAATTTCTTCAAATTGTAACAACCACAGTGTTCTGTTCAAAACCATCGATATTGCTCTCCATGCTCCCAAGTCTGTTGGTTTTGATGCCTCCAATGAAGTCTGAACTTCTCACCCTGTCTCTGAGGGAGAGTCCAGCTCTGCAGAGGAAACTCATTTCAACCTCCTGGATTCACGATCTCATTCTTTCAGTCTCTACCAGAGTTCAGGACCAGAGGTGAGGGGAGGAACGTAGACCGACCAGTAAACAGAGAGCTTTGTCTTACAGCTCAGCTCCCTCTTCACCACAACGGACCGGAACAGAGTCCACAATACTGCAGAAGCTGCACCAATCCATCTGTCAATCTTGCTCCATTCTTCCCTCACTCATGAACAAAACCCTGAGATACTTGAACTCCTTCACTTGAGGCAGAATCTCACCCTCGACCTGAAGAGAGCAGTCCACTCTTTTTTGACAAAGTTAAGTCTGGTCCTCTGGACGGGTTCAAAAAACAAAAAACTGTAGAAACGTTATGTATGGACTTCTTCAGTCTGAGGTGCTGTATTCAGCTCAGTCTCTTAAATAGCACCTTCTCAGAGTGGATCAACCAGTTTTGCTGCTGACAACCAGAACCAGCTGATCACATGCTCAAGAAGGACCATCAGTCTAACAATGGATCATTAGCACCTGATGGCTGTTTACTGTTCACAGAGGGCTGAGTGATACTAGCAATCACAGCATTGTAAGAGGGGGACAGTTGAACCTGGAGGCTCCACCCCTGTTTAATGATGGACGATGTCTTTTCACAAAGATGGCCTCCTTTACTCCTCTCTCAAACCATCGTTCCTCTCTGTCCAGGATGTGAACATCTTCATCCCTGAAAGAGTGACCTCTGGCCTGGAGATGAGTGTAGACCTCAGAGTCCTGGCCTGATGATGTTGATCTTCTGTGCTGGTCCATCCTTTTGGCCAGTGGCTGTTTAGTTTCCCCGATGTAAGACTGATCACCCTCCTGACACTGAACAACATACACAACATTACTCTGTTTGTGCCGGGGGACTGGATCTTTGGGATGAACCAGTCTTTAATGTATTTTGGGGTTTAAAAGCCACTGGGACGTTATGTTTAGAAAATAAACGTCTCAGTTTCAGTGAAACTCCTGCAACATCCTCCATCATGTGAGCAGCTGGTTCTGGATGTCCACAACAAACTGGTTGATCCACTATGAGAAGGTGCTGCTTATAAGACTGAGTTTGTTGCAGCTCCTCAGTCTGAAGAAGTTTTTTAGATAAAAGATGAAACGTTTCTACAATTTTTTAAAAATCTTTTTAACCCGTCCAGAGGACCAGACTTAACTTTGTTATATTTTTCTACCTGGATTGTTGAGCAGCATCAGGACCAGTCCACCCTTTTCTGACTGAGGACCATGGCCTCAGATTTGGAGATGCTGATTCTCATCCCAGCTTCACACTCGGCTCCGAACTGCTCCAGTGAGAGCTGAAGATCACGGCACGATGACGCCAACAGGACCACATCATCTGCAAAGAGCAGAGATGAATCCTGAGGAAGAGGAATCACAGATTAACAAGAGGAACAGAAAAAATATTAATAAACCAACGGAAAAACATGAGAGGAGGAACGTCTGGGAGGTTCTGAGTCACACACACAGAGAGACGCCCTGTTTCATCAGTTGTCTCCTCATGGACTCTCGGTGGATCTGTGGTTCTCTGCTTCTGCTGATCTCAGGAGGTGAGCTCGTTTAAACTTTAAACTTTCAGTTGAAATCTAAAAGTTTCTTCTTTTAGCTGCAGGACAAAAACAGAACATTCTTAAAATAAATAGCAATTTATCAGCTGCTCTCTTCTTCAGGGGTCGCCACAATGAGCAAACTCGTTTGAACATACTGATAAATGTTTTATGCCGGATGTCCTTGCTGACACAACCTGGCAACATCAGGACTACAAGGCCCCAGCCCTGACCACCAAGCTACTGCAGCCCTGTGAAAAATTCTTACAATAAACAAAAACTTACAAATATTTTCTTCCTGTGAATTTAAAACTTTCAACTTTTTCATCTTCCAGACTGAAATAAACCAAACCTGAAAGTTTTCTATTAAAACACAGCTGAAATGCTGAGTGACTGCGCTGAAATGAGCTGAAGAAGATTAAACCGAGTTGTTGAAAATTAGCAAAATATTAGCTAAGTGATAAACTTAACGAAATCATAGCTATAAGCTAAAATGATCACATGAAGAAACTTTCAAAAAACTAACAAAGCAGCGGCTCCGTGTGAGACTGAGCAGATAAAAACTAAACTTGGAAAAAAGGTCAAAAAGTAAAAACTGTAAACTTTAAGTGTTGCACAACAGCAGCTAAAACAGCAAAAATAAAGCAACGACAGGAAATGTTGACTCAGCGCTGACCCTGTTATCCACTTTCTTTAAACCCACTGCGCCTCAGAACTACCTGAACTCACCTGGTTCTGTTTGGGCTCAGAGACCTGATGTTGGTGCTAAAACTAAAAAAACAACTTTAATAACCCACGGTGTAAACACAAACAGCGAGGTCTGGTTTTCAGGGAAACCCATCAATGCAACGTGTTTGTTTTAACATTTTCAACAAACTTTTGGTTTAGTTTGAGGTCCATTTCTATCCAGACTTCTAGTTCTGATCATCTTTTCCTGCAGCTGTCAGCTCTGGAGATGACAGCTGGTCCATGAAGGTCCAGTCAGAGGTCCGAGGTATTGATGGATACCCTGTGGTGCTGCCCTGCACCTTCAGCCACCCACAGCATTCCCAACATTCCTCGCTGCAGGTGCTGTGGCATCTGGGCCACGGTCAGGCGGCCACAGTCTTGTACCGCTGCAACAGCCGGCCCGGGGCACCCACCTGCGAACCAGGTCCGCAGCAGGACCAGCGCTACCGTCTAGAGGGCAACCCGAGGGAGCACGACCTGTCACTCCGGATCAACAGCGCCACCCTGCAGGACAACGGGCGGTACTACTGCCGAGTGGAGGTCCAGGGGCGAGAACACATCAGCTTCGAGGACAAGATGGGGACCAGGCTGAGAGTGGAGGGTAAGGTCCAGAACATCTGGGTCGGTTAGGTAGAGAGTCTGACTCAAACAGCAGCTGAGTCCCATCCAACGGAAAAACAAACCGGATGAAAAACATTTATATGTTCCTAAATCAAAAATATGAGTCAGATTCACATCTAAAACATCTGGTTTGGACTTACTCAAACTGTGACACATCGTCAAGAGCTGGCTGATTTTCAGAGGTTTACCTGGAGTGCATTAACCTCACCTGACCTTCAATGACCTCCCCTGACCTTGACTGACATCCCCTGACCTTCATTGACTTCACCTGACCTTCACTGACCTTCATTAACCTCACCTGACCTTCATTACCTTCACCTGACATTCACTGACCTCACCTGACCTTCACTGACCTCACCTGACCTTCAATGACCTCATCTGACCTTCATTGACCTCATTTGACCTTCACTGACCTCACCTGACCTTCATTGACCTTCACTGACCTTCACTGACCTCACCTGACCTTGATTACTTCACCTGACCTTCACTGACCTCACCTGACCTTCATTATCCTCACCTGACCTTCACTGACCTTCAATGACCTCACCTGACCTTCACTGACCTTCACTGACCTTCACTGACCTCACCTGACCTTCACTGACCTCACCTGACCTTCACTGACCTCACCTGACCTTCATTGACCTCATCTGACCTTCACTGACCATCACTGACCTCACCTGACCTTCACTGACCTCACCTGACCTTCAATGACCTCACCTGACCTTCACTGACCTCACCTGACCTTCACTGACCTCACCTGACCTTCACTGACCTTCACTGACCTCACCTGGTTTCCCTTCATGTCAGTGTTTTGCTCCCCTCCTTGTGTTTATTCTCTAATTTTATTTGACAACAACTCTGACTTTATTTATTGTTTGTTGTTTACATCTTCATCGGTCAAGTTTGATTCTTTGTCTAAAACTTTCTTTTTTTTTGTTTCTTTTTTTTTGTATTCGTCTTTTATTGTTGTCTTGTTTTTACCTGCACTTTTATTTTTACCTTTGGACTGTTGCAGAATAATGTGTGACGTGGTTCTGAGGTAAATTCCAGCTGTGGTCCAGATGTTTGAAGGTTCTTCTCCATCCCTGTCCTTCAGCTCCTCCAAAGGTCCTGGTCCTGTCGGTGGAGGGCAGCCAGCAGTCCGGGTACAGAGCTCTGTGTCAGGTCCAGGGCTCGCCGCTGCCGGACGTCCAGTGGCTCGGCCCAGACGACCTTCTGGAGGGCTCCCTGGTGGCTCCGCGGGCTCAGGGCTCCTCGGGGCGGTACCAAACCGTCAGCCAGCTGATGGACGTGGAGCCGGACCAGCAGTACACCTGCAGCGCCTCCAACCCGCTGGGCAAAGACCAGGCCACCCTGTACGTTCTGCACCCCCAACCCCTGCCATCGGTCAGTGGGGCGCCGACACCCGTCCTCCTCCTCCTGTCAGCGGCTCTGGGGGTCAAAGTGGTTCTGGTGGTGGGGATGGGTGTGTGGATGGTGCAGGGGGGCAGCTGCTGCAGGAAATAAGCTCAGATTCAGAACCAGAGACCGGATCAGGTCTGTACCTGATGGTGTAGTGGAGGATCCAGATGTTCCTGCCTCTCTGCAGACGGAAGTCCTTCAGATTGTTGTCAACGTGTTGGAGAACCTACTGAATAAACAACCGGACTGCGCCGAGCTCCTGACCTCATTTTACTGTTTCATGATTCGATCTTAAGTTCAGAACTTTTACAGACGTGACGTGTGAAAACTAATGTCCTTCAGATCCCAGCAGAACGCGTGGACCTGATCAGGCTCTAAAACAAATCAGTTCCCTTCAGGAGAACAAAACACAAGAGATTCCACTGAGTCTTCATTTATTCAACAAAACGTTCAAACTCCACCGTGAGATCATCTGCAAACAGTTTGACTTCTCCTTCAACAAACTCCAACTGATGAATTATTACAAACATCTGCACGAAACGCTCGTTTCCTAAAGTTTATTTTACTGACGCCAGTTTTTACTGAAGGTATCAGCAGAAGAAACTATAAAAGCATCAATGTTTTATGTGTTGGAGGTCGCTGGAGGTCAGATGTTTCATGGAGACAAACGACACGTCTGGAGATAAAATAAACGAGTCAAACTCAGTACAACACACTGAAAATACTAATTTCTTTACATTTGACAAGTCAGACTCTGTTGCATAAATAATAAATATCTCTATTAAAGAGTAAAAGCTACGTCACTCAAAATATTACAGTTTTAGTCTTAATTTGAAGGATTTCTTATAAACAAACAACAAAATCTAAAATAATCTTAAAACCTGAAAATAAAAGAAATGAAACGGTTTCTGAGGTTAAAACAGTTTAACAGCAGAGAAACATTTCTTTAGACATTGAGTAAAAGTCACTCTGGATTACCATTATTACACATGAAGTTTAAAAATGTTCTTCTCTAGACAAACTTCTTTAATAAAAAGAAAACACATTTTAATAAGCAGGACGTTACAACAACTGCAGCGAGAGTCAATGAGAAAAGAGCTGAAGCTTCAAAACGTGACGAGCTTGATACAAAACTTCAGCTTTCAAATAAAAAAATCTGATGGGAGGCCGTTAAATAAACATTTACTGGAGACTGCTGTACAAATATTTAATATTTAATTTAACTTTTCACATTCAGAGTTCAAACAGTAGAAAAAGATGTGTCCACAGTTTGAAAGAATGTTTCTCATTCAAATCAACTTTTATCATTAATTCTCAAGGAGAAGAAAATGTTGTAGATTTAAGATCACAAATGTTTTTTCATGAGACAAAAACTAAACATTTGTTTGAAAATATGAAAACCAGGCTCGGAGTGACGACGTGTGTTCGTCATTGTCAATCGTTCTTTTTGTTGTTGTTTTATATTTTTAAATACAATTTCCTTATGATTATCCTTTTAAATTTATTTATTTTAAAATATGTCACACTAAGCTTTATTAAGTGGAAAAGCCCCAGAAAAATATTCTTCCTGATATTTATGAAGTTTGGGGCGGCTGTGACTCAGTGGTTAGAGCAGTCGTCCTCCAACGCAAGAGTTGGGGGTTCGAATCCACCAGCAGTCACATGCCGAAGTGTCCCTGGGCAAGACACTGAACCCCTCGTTGCCTCTGACGTGTGTCCCATCAGTGTATGAATGTGATAAAGCTCTGGTTAGTCTCTTTAGAATGATTTGTTCAATTAGCTTTGTAGAGATCTAGTATAGAGCTGCATGAATGGGTGAATGTGGCACAGATTGTTGTAAAGAGCTTTGAGGATCTTGATCAGATAGAAAGGAGCTGCATAAGTACAGTCCATTTACCATTTATGAAAAAAGTCTTAAATAACTCAAAGCAGCTGAAACTGTAAAACATTTAAAAACATTTTTTATGAGTTCTTGAAGCTCGAAGAGACTAACCTGTAGAAATAAAGCTTGAATTGAACTGAGTCTGATGAAAAATAAATAATTTTATGCTTGAATTAAAGAAAACTCTAGAGCTGTGCAGGATCAAGACAGTCTGTGTTTTTAGCCAAACCAGTGTTTCCTATAATAACCAATAATAACCAATAATAACCATTAATAACCAGTAATAACCAGTAATAACCAAGTACAAAGTATCATCCCCAAAGACTGAAACTTATCATCGCTGCCTGGCTTTAGAGAGAGTTTGTGGTTTCAACGTGAAGTTTACTGACAATATATGAGTAAAAATGTAGTCATCACTTTAATTGTAAAACAAAAAATTGCAAATCTGTGTCAAAAAAGTACCAAATTACTAATTTATGTCTTTGGGAAAGTTTTTAAAAACATTTTCACATATGTTAACAAAAATAGACTCCCACCATTTTGTGGCTCTGTCATGAAAGAGAAACGTTCAGCCGAACAAATCCAAGTCCAGTTTCAGGTCGTGATCCCAGTTGGACTCTCGTCGCTTCAGGTCAGTTTGAAGAAGAACTCTGGCTCTTTGTAGCAGATAGACTGGTACGTGTTGCAGCAGTCTTCGTCCCTCCAGGTGCAGTTGTTTCTCAGACTCATCAAGGCACACTGACCTTCATCCACACTGCCAGGCTCTCCGGTGTCCCAGTTGGTGTTGCCCACCTCGTTGTCGTTCAGCCAGTACCAGTCCCCGCTCACAGAGCTGCGGCGCATGCCGATCCACACTTTCTGGTCGCTGCCCGAGCGGAGCTTGTTGCAGACCTGTCTTTGTAAATGGGCTTTAGAGAGACTGATGAGATTCAAACCTGTACCTTCACATGATCCGATCGATGCACGCCAGTTTTGGGTTTGGGTAAGGACTGTCAGATTCTCTGGAGTCACAGAACAACCTCTGAAATCTGTTTGTCAAAGACAAAAACCGACAACAGAAAATCATCCCCTTGACTGTATAGTTACTGCATTGCATTTTGTTGTGATGGCTTGTTGTACATGAGTCTGTGGAGGTAAACATCCACTGTTTTAATTAAAGCTGTAATGAATCGGAGGTACACCTGCACCTACATCTGGACCTGCCATTCTGTGTCTGTCTCGGGTTGCCTGAGATATCCCTTAGTTCTGCTGCTATAGTCTTAGACTACTGGAGAACAAACTGACCACATGTCCTCTCTCTGCTGCTGTCTTTACTTAGTCTACTCTCACTGTTTGTAATTATTTCTATCTTAACGTTTCTTTTGTCTTTCCTCCTATAGAAAGTTCACCTGGACTATAGAAAGTTCACCTGGACTATAGAAAGTTCACCTGGACTATAGAAAGAACACCTGGACTATAGAAAGAACACCTGG